AGGTGTGCATCACCATGCCTGGCTTGTGATATCTAGTGGTAATTCGCCTTGCATTCCTGGAGTTTATTCTAGAGAGGAAAGTCAGTCAGCAAACAAATAGAAATGAACCGACCACAACAAGGGCAAAGATGAACTAAGCAGGAAATTTCGGTGACCCGTGACAGAGGAGACTAAATCAGTCCCTTCCTTCACAGCCACACAAGGAGCACATGTCGCTGTCGGCCTCGTGTGTGCTGATGGAGAAATAACCACGAACAAGGCCCCTGTGTCGCTCTCAGGGCTCCTGACTAGTAGGGTGGCTCTGGCCAGACCCGCCTCCTGACCCTTGTTTCTTTCCTTACAAAAACCCTAATAATCTAATGAATGGAAACATCAGTCAGCAAGAACACGCACTCAGATTAATAGTGTCAACAAGAAGGAAAACAGCAAAGGGATTTAGAGGGTGAGGACAGAGGTGGGTGGGAAGGGGATTATAAAAGAAACTCACTGTATTACGTACCTGTACCTACTCCCCAAGATGAACGCAAACTTCACGTACGACAGACACATACTAATAAAAAGACAATAAAAATAGTTCCATAAAAAAATAGCTGCTTTTCCTCCAACATTCTGTGCCTTGTTAAGTCACGAAGCCGCCTGAGTGATACCCACCTTCACCCACTTATTAGATGCGGTACAAGTAACCAATGCCATAGTAACTTGTGAGCTCTACTACGGAGTGTTCCTGAGGCCCTCCGTACAGGGAGGCAAAGGATTCAGGAAAAAAGGAAGGGGTGGTGGCGCTCAGCTGTGTCTGAACAGGCTCCAGCTGTGACAGTCACCCTCACTGAGGGCCTGGGTGCATTACATCACTCCATCCCCCTGGCTGTGCATCCCCCTCCCTCTAGGGAACAAATAAGGAGTGAAGCGTACAGTGAGGCCTGGAGAGTAAGGTTGATCCAAGGAGGGCTGGGGTGGTACAGGAAGCCGGACACTGAAGAAGAGTGACAAAAGTCGGGACCCCACCCCCACCCCCGCCCCGGAGCTTAAGTGACCAGAGAGGCTGCTGCGAAGGCTTCCCCAGATGAAGGTGGACAAGTGGCTCAGCTCAGGGACCCCTGGCCCAGGAGGCTCTGACAACCACAAAGCAAAGTGAGGGATGGTAGCACTCACATCCGCCCCCAGGACACTTGCCACCAGCGCAGGGGCAGAGCTGTGCGCTCCCCACTTGCATGGTGGGCTGTGATCTGTGCCGGAAGAGATGCTGCAAAACCTCCCTGGGACTTGCCATGTGGTAATGGTTGAGGCAAGAGGCCCAGAGGAGAGGGACCAGCTCTCCAACCAGCGGACCAGACACCAGGACCCGGAAACACGGCCGCCTTTCCTGTTTGGAGCCCTAATCGGGCCCGTGGAAGGCCTCAGAAACGTGGTGAACTGGCCACATCATCAAATTTCAGGAGTGCTTGAGATCAGGATGGACTTGAAAGCAAAATATTTAGTAACTGGCCAAATAAGGACAACCTGAACCAATAACAAGACCTGACACGGACAGGTCCTACTTGCAGCTGTAACAAGTCTGCGATCTCACTTAAAGCCCCAGGAGGGAGAGTGTTGATCTCAGGGTGGGAGAAAGAGGTGAGAGAAGAAAGAGAAGAGAGAAGAAAAGGAAGAAGGAAAAGAGGAGAAAGAGGGAGGGAGAGAGAGAGTGAACAGAGAATACATACAGAAGCACACTTAAAGCAGCAAAGCTATTAGAAAAGAAAGGCAAGAAATAGATAATATTAATGGGAAAATTTACTTTGGACAGAAGACTGATATCTAGAATATGTAAAGAATGAAAAAAATGAGACCCCCCCCAATAAAAGACCCAATCAAAAACTGGGCAACTGCAGTGAATAACACTTCTCAGAAGAAGAAGCAGAAATGGCCAATGAGTGCCTAAAGAGATGCTCAACATCGCTGGCCATTAGAGAAATGTGAACTAAAACAACACAACACTGAGACTCCATCTTACCTCGGAAAGAATGGCCATTATCAAGAAATCAAATAATAATAAGGCTGCAGGGGGCAAAGGAATCCTTTCTACATTGTTGGTGGGACTGTAAATCAGTACAACCATTAGGGAAATTGGTATGGAGATTCCTCAAGAAACTAATACTAAAAATTCCATTCAACCCAGTTATTCCCCATTCTAAGTATCTTCATGAAAGAATTAAAGACAACGTATTATAGAGATACATGCGTACCCATGTTTATAGCAGCACAACTCATGACAGCTAAGTCATGGAAGTGGTGCCTATGTCCATCAACAGATGAATGGATAAAGAAAATGTGGTATTTATAGAGTGGAGTACTACTCTGCCATAAAGGATAAATTTGAGTCATTTTTAGGAAAATGGATGCACTTTGAGACCATAATGTTAGGCAAAATAAATCAGACACACAACCTTAAACATTGCATGGTTTCTCTTATATGAGAAACCCAAAATATAAATAAATCAAAGAGCAAAATAAAAGATAGATAGTAGGAAACAGGGAGATAGATCCTTTGCACATGGGAAGAGGACCAAGGAATGGTGGGAAAGGGGCCAGGGAAGGGGACATAAAAATAATTAGATGTGTCATGTCAAGTGTACCAAAAAATTAATTGTACGTTAAAATCCTGCTTTAATACATAACTCTATTGTATGTTATGCTTAAAACAACAGAAAGCAGTCCACTGGTGGTGAACCTATGGCATGCATGCTGCAAACAGCTGTTACCATTGAAAACTCTAAAAGGTTCACCATCACTGGAATGACCCAATAAACAAAACATAATATCCATCAACAAACATCTGTGGACATGTTCACAGAGTATTTAAATCACTGTGAATATTATCATTTCAATACTGCATGTGTTCTTTATATAGTCTAGATGTCAGTCCTTTGTCTGAGGAGTAGCTGGTAAAAATTTTTTCCCACTCTGTGGACTGCCTCTTCACTCTGTTGGTGGTGTCTTTTGCTGTGCAAAAGCTTTTTAATTTGATGTGATCCCAGTTGTTCTTTGTAGTATTTCCTGTGCAATTAGGGTTTTGTTCATAAAGTCTTTGTTTACTCCTGTGTCTTTTAGATTTCCACCTATTCTTCTTCCAGCAGACTGTTTCTGTTTTTATATTTAGATCTTTGATCCATTTCCATTTTAGTTTGGCACACTGTGAAAGATATGGGTGTAGGTTCAGTTTTCAGGATGTGGAAAGCCAGTTTTCCCAAGACCTGTATTAAAGAGGCTATCTTACCTCCAGTGAAAGTGCTTGGCTCCTGTGTCAAAGATACGGTAGCTGAGTGTGTTTGGAGTTGTTTCTGCATCTTCTATTCTGTTCCACTAACCCTTGGGTCTTTTGTTTTTTCCCCCAGTACTGTGCTGTTTATATCACAGTAGCTTTGTAGCATAACTTCAAATCAAGGATTGTGATGCCTCCTGTTGCCCAGAATTGCTTTTGCTATTCTAGGTCTCTTCTGGTACCATACGAATTTCAGGACTGTTTTCTCTAGTTCTGTGAGATATGCTATTTGTATTTTGATTGGAATTGCAGAAAATCTGTATAGTGGTTTTGAAAGTATGATCATTTTCACTATACTGGTTCTGCCTTTCCATTTTCTGATACCCTCTTCAGTCTCTTTTTTCAGAGCACCATAGTTTTCAATGTACAGGTCTTTCATTTTCTTTGTTAGACTCCTACATATTTCACTTTTCTTGGTTCTATTATGAAAGATGTGGTTTCTCTAATTTCCCTCTCAGTGACTGTGTTATTCTAGATGTTAGTACAGCAATGCTTTTGATTTTTGAGTGTTGACATTGTGTCCTGCTATGCTGCCAAATTTGGTTACTAATTCTAGGAGTCTTTTGGTGGAATTTTTGGTGTCTTCTATGTCATCAGTATGGAGAGTCCTCAAAAAACTAAAACTAGAGTTTCCGTTTGGCCCAGCTGCTCTCCTTCCTGGTATCTTCCTGAAAGTGTTAGAAGCATCATACCACAGCAAAATATGGATACCCATGTTTAGAGTAGCATGATTTATAATAGCTAAATCTTGGAAACAGCCCATATGCCCATCAAAAGATGAATGGATACAGAAAATGTGGTATTTATACACAATGGAGTACTACTCGGCCATAAAGAAGGATAAACTTGAGTCATTAGTAGGTAAATGGATGCACCTTGAGATCATCATCTTAAGTGAAATAAATCGGACACACAAGTTTAAATATTGCATTGTTTCTCTTGTGTGAGAAACCCAAAGGGTACACAAGGAGCATAAGGAGGATCGACATTGGGAAGCAAGGAGAACATGTTGAAATGGGAAGGGGAATTAAGAGAGAAGAGAGGGGAGAGGAAAGGAAGGGGGAAAAAGAGACTGGGAGGAAAAATGGAAATGAAGCTTTTGTAAACGGGGAGAGGAAGAAGGGTTGAAGAGAGGGGAGGGGAATGGGGAAAAGAAGAATTAAGACTCGTTGTGTACAGGACTGGGGACTTAGCTCAGTGGTTCTGCCGCCTGCTTTGCAACGTAAGGACCCGAGTTCGATGCCCAGTAACACCAACAGAAAGGATTTACTAAAAAAAAAAAATATTGCATATGTACAGTTCTGCTTTTTTGCATTTCAGTTTCTTTCCATTGCGGGGAGACAGGCTGTGGGGTGACAGCGAGGGCACAAAGACAAAGAAAAGCTGTTAAGAAAATCCTAGGTGCTCGGGATCGTTAACATACATCATGGGCCCCGCGCCGCGAGCCATAACCTCAGCGCGCTTGCGCAGAGCCCGCGTCACTCCTGCTGCTTCAGCGCTTTTCTCAGCAGCCTTGGCTGGATCCAAGGCTGAGGAGCGGCGGCCCCGTTTCCCTACTCTCCCATAACCCTGATGCCTCAGCCCCCTCTGCCACACTCTCCTCTGCCTGCACAACTGTCTGCAGTCTTAGGGGTTAAGTCCTGAGCAAATGACTAACGCCCAGAGTCCACCGCGGCTCCGGCCCTCGAGGGCCTCTTACCTTTGTCGTAGATTTCCTTCAGGACCCCTCGCTTGATCAGCTCCTCTCGGCTCTGCCTCATCGAGATCTTCCTCTCCAGGGCTGGAAGCAAGACAGACAGGCAGGCGTGAACCCGAGACAAAGCTCTGCTTTTTTCAAATGTTAGTGTTGATATGCAATGAAATGGGCGGAAAAACTTCTGTACATTATGCTTTGCTAATATAATTGATACTTTTTGATGTTTTGAGCCTTTTGAAAAAAGAAATATTAATTTATTTTTTGTGGTACTGGGGATCCAACCTAGGGGTGATCTATAAACATTAAGTAAAATTTTTATTTTTTTATCAGCACATGTTTGCAGTAGATAATATTTACATTCCTTGTGTGGGGTTGGTACAGGTGCATAACATGTCTCCATGCCTTTCTTCATGCCTTTCTCTCTCCTTCCCCTCTTCCTCCATCTCTTCATCACCTTCTCATTTAACAGAACCACTGTGGAGATCAGTGTGGAGATTCCTCAAAAATCTAAAACTAGGAATTCCATTTCACCCAGCTATTCCCCTTCTAGTTATCTTCCTGAAAGAGTTAAAGACATCATATTACAGTGATACACACTTACCTTTGTTTACAGCAGAACAACTCACAACAGCTAAATCTTGGAAACGGCCTATATATCCATCAAAAGATGAATGGATAACAAAAATATGGTATTTACACACCATGGAGTACTACTCTGCCATAAAGAAAGATAAACTCGAGTCATTTGTAGGAAAATGGATGCACCTTGAGATCGTAAGGTTCAGGGAAGTAAGACACACAAGCCTAAATATTGCATAGTTTCTCTTATATGAGAAACCCAAATTATAAATAAAGAAAAGAAAAAGCCCCAGCCTTTTTAATTTTTTGAGACAGGGTATTGCTAAGTTGCCCAGGCTTGGCTAGAATTTGTCATTCTACTCTCTCAGCCTCCTGAGGAGCTGGGATTACAGGCATGCATCACCTTGCCTTTTTGTCATAGTATTTTGATAAGCCTTTTTGATCAGGTTATTTTGTCAAATCTTCAAAACAACCTTCATATCACCTAAAAGATAGTCATTTTGATGAATGTGATTTCACTCTGAATTCTGATGATGAAGCCACGATGGGAAGGCTTAGCCTGCTGTCATCACACTGCTACTGAGAAAAACATCAGGACATCAAGCCAAATACAGGACCGGTCCTCAGCCCCACTCAGCCTCCCAGAGTACTGGGATTACAGGCACGTGCTGCAGCACAAGGCTGGGTACAATGCTTTAAGTGCACTGTCATGGAGCCGTACACTTACAAGGAGTTAATTTTATGTTATGTAAATGGAACCTTAATTAGGCTGTTAAAAAAAGAGGGGTAGAAACAATAACTGTGGAGGAAAATAGCCAGTATGACCAAAAACAGTGATTTAAAAATTCAAATAGTAAATCTCAGCAGACCATTAAGAAATTAATAAGCTTTGGGTGACTGAAAGTGAAGTGGTCAACATTAAAAATGAGAGGATTAGAAACATCACACATAAAGGTAGATTTCTTGAAAAGCAGTTTTTTTAAAAGCTCTAATAAGTTATCAGCAGATCCAAAATACAAAAAGCAGGAACTCGATTCCCCCAACATGAACATGCAGGCCATGTAGCAGCCAGTGCAATGCCCCGATCTTTGGAAGAAAATCAAATTTCCAGTCTTCAGTAAATACCTCATCACAGGAGTCAGGATGGCACTGTGGCAAATGAAGCATCAAAACAGAGCACAGAGACCAGCAGACATACAGCCCGAGATCCTGAAACCAACACATGAGACAGCCTGACCAGGAAAGGAGAAAAACGAACGTTGATTTGCTTTTCTAGACCATGACTTAGTGGAGTAGATGCTAACACATCAGAAGCTTCACATGTCCCTCTTGCCTGAAATATGAGTGGGAGGATGATATCTCAATTACTGCACCAAAAGTGGCCCCAAATGGCTCAAAACAACCACATTCAAAGGTCGAGATGGCCAAGGAAGACTCTCGGCTCTCACAGGAACTAGGCAGGAAACCTCAAAAGGCATAGTCATCTTTGCATCCCTACCTCTGTGCCTTAGTAGAGGATTTTTGTTCTGGAAGTGTGATGTGTGGACATCTTGTGGCCTTGCCTGAACCTGGATGGGCCACTTCTCCTGGGCTAGCCAGCTCCCGGAGCCAGGACTGATTCGGCTTGAGGGTGGCTTTCCTGTGCAGACCAGCAACTCAGAGCCCATAGGCCCAGCCACCTCTTTGTCCAGTTCTTCTACTCCAGCTCACTATGCATTTGCTCCAGTCACCCCAGAGCCAGGCACCAGACAACTAGAGGCAGCGCCTAGGCCTCACAGTCTACCAGTATTAACACTACCAGTCCTGAACCTGCTTATTTCATCTTGCCTACTGCTTCCCATGGAATGCACAATAAAGGCTCTTGCCCATATTTCTTCCTGCTCCCTCTTCCTCGTGGCCAACCTTGGTGCTTCCCTGGGTGGCCCTGGTGGTGTAGTGGGCCTCCTCCTCTGGGGATGTGAGAATACACCAGCCTGTCTTTTCAACGGTGTGTCTCAGTCTGCCAGCCTCACTGTAGCTGGACAGTAAGAATGGCTACTGTGACAGTTAAGCTGGTTGGCCAACTGGATTGTCTAGAGAGCCACCTGGGGGATTAGTGAAGCGGACTTCTGGATTCTGGATGTGTGACCTTGGGGACTATATCTGGTCCTAGCCCCTTCCTGTTCCCCTGCTCTGCTTTGTGCTTGCCATGGGTCGAGCAGCTGTGCTCCTCCAGGCCCTCTCACCATGCCATTTCTGCCTTGGAGCCAGCCAATCATGGACTGAAACCTCTGAAATTGTGAGCCAAAAATAAATCTCTTCTTTAAGTTGTGAGTATCAAGTATTTTTTTTCCAGTGAAGGGAAAACTGAGAAATACATCTACATTTTAAAACACACCTGATTTGGACAGGTTTATAAGGAAGGAAGAACTACAGGGCATTCCACGGCCTGATGTTTCCCTTTATTGTTCTGAAAGCTATTTGCACGTGAACAAGTGGCTTCCAAAAAGAGGCACAGTGAAAACAGCCCAAAGGTTACCTCTAATGACAGAGCGACAAAGTTCTAATCTCTAATTTTTGTAAAGTCCTCTTCTGAGCCACCGGTGTAGTCTATGCCATGTAAACTAAAATCCAGTTTCCCATCATCTCTCCTTAATTTAATTTTTCATTCTCCCTGTTTACATGGTTTGTGATTGGCTAAGGACTCCTATGCTTCTGCGACATCAACAAATTTCAAATAAGCATCTTAATTTGGGGTGTAGCCCAGTGGTACAGTGCTTGCTTAGCATGCATGAGCCCTGCTTTTGAACAGCAGCACCACACATAAAATAAATAAAAATAAATAAATGAAATGAAAGAAGCATCATGAATAGGCTCATTCTCTTTAGTGAATGCCTGGGTTGGGTGAATTTGATGAAGCAACTGAGACTTTTAAAATTCTTTTCATATACATATGTTTTAATTCCTTTATGAAAATATTTCACTTTAAGAAACATAGCGAAAACAAAGTCCCTTTTTCCATTTCCCTTCCTCTGTAAATCCAACTCACCAAATCCCACCGGTGATATTTTCATTTGGGATTTTCATTCTCTTTCCCTCTGCCCTTTGCTCTCAATATTCACACCACCCCATATTGTATATAAATACTGTTTTAAAAAAATAGATGGAATCATTTGCTTTTCCCTACAGGTCTTTTCTTTCTTCTAACTTGTCAATTTTAGGGTTCTTCCCCTCTGTATATACTGGACCACCTTGTTCTTTTTGAACAGTGTGTAACATTTCACAGAATGCATGTACCATAACATATTTAATCAGGCATCAAAAGAAGGAAATTGAAATTTCATCTACTTTTGGCATAGACACTGCTTCTGTGGATTCATTTGTTCAGGTCTCAATGCAAACATCTATTAGAATTTTTTCAAGCTATGTGTAGCTAGATGTACAATTTCTGGGCAGGTCATTTTATTGTATGCTCCTAGTACTGACGGGAAGAAAGAACCTCTTATGTTTCATAACTTTTAAGCACTCCTTTTTTATTTTTTTTAAAAAGATAAGAAAGTGGGGAAAAAAGTAATATAGAGGCTGGAGCAAGTCATTTGGTCCTGCTAAGAGTAACGGAGCAGAGACTTGTTTAGATTGTTCTCTACAATAATCTCTCTGTTGAATTCCCTGCTCAATTGCCTTTAAATTACATTTTGAAGGGAATAGAAGTTTGAAGGGGAAAGGCAACTGAGAAATAAACTGGGCAGTAGTTTACTTAGTCTTATACCTTCAACTTAAAATAGTCAACTTGTAAGTAAAATCTGTAGTTTTTACCCATTTAAAGTTTTATAACCCCGAGGAAAGGGAATTTTAAGCTAGCAATCTACAAATGGAATGAAATTCCATAACCCAGGACATGCCTCCGGGGCCACTTCCCATCTGGCCTCATGAATAATGGGGACTCTGATATGATTCAAGAGCCACAGCCTAGAAAGACCCCAAGCAGAACACTCAGCCCATGCATTCAGGTGACACAACCACAAATGCCCAGGACTCAAATGAGAAATCGATTCATGTGTATGAGATCTCTGGAGGGAAATTTTTAAAAGACGAAGAGACTTTCAACATTAAATTTATACATACACTATTTGAAAGAAGAGGAAGGGGAGAAAGAATTTGGAGGAAGGGGCCATAGAGTACTTCAGTCTATTTACACACGTGTGTGCCTGTGAACCTGGCATTTATTGTTATGAAGCAGGCATGAAAGTTGTATTTTATTATTAAACTCGGACTTGTTGTATTGTTTTGTAAAGTAATTTAAAAAGTTAAAATATAGGGCCGGGGATTTAGCTCAGTGGTTTCGCTGCCTGCTGTGCAAGTGCAAGGAGCCGAATTTGATCCCTGGTAGCAAAAAAAAAAGTTAAAATATAAAAAGGTTGCTTTGTTACTTATACACATGAACTATTACTATATGGCTATACGTGGCCCCAGACAGCTCCTACTCAGTGTGGCCCAGGGAGGCCGAGAGGTTGGATACCGATATC